ACTAGGACCATTAAATCAGCCTTTTTTACTATAAAATAACAATACTAGGACCATTAAATCAGCCTTTTTTACTATAAATAATAATACTAGGACCATTAAATCAGCCTTTTTTACTATAAATAATAATACTATCCATTAAATCAGCCTTTTTTACTATAAATAATAATACTAGGACCATTAAATAAGCCTTTTTTTTAATAAATTAACAACACTAGGACCATTAAATCAGCCTTTTTTACTATAAATTAACAATACTAGGACCATTAAATCAGCCTTTTTTACTATAAATAATAATACAAGGGCCATTAAATCAGCCATTTTTACTATGAATAATAATACTAGGGCAATTTATTCAGCCTTTTTTACTATAAATAATACTAGGACCATTAAATCAGCCTTTTTTAAGTTTAATAACTTGAGTTCAATTTTGAAATAGGTTTTCTAAAATAGTGGTTGTGGTGGCAAACTTGGATTTCTGATTGACACGAGAAATAATAACACTTTGTCAGGGCCATTAAGTAGATCATGCCCACCAAGTCTCAGTTTAACAGACCAATAAGAACAGGGGTCAAAGTGTTTTAAATAGGGTTTCACAAAGATGGCTGAGCAGGACATGTTGAATTTCAGATCAACCTCTTTAAATTTCACCAGTCAATCATCCCTATTCAGTTAATTATGCCCATCAGAACTTCAATTTTATATTTGAAATAGATTTTCGACATGGCAGTCATGGTGGTTATATTGGGTTTCATATTGGAGTATTAATGATGTCTCTCTTCAGTGGCATCGCAGTTTAAGTTTAACTCACAACAGAGGATGGCGACAGAGACAATATCATAGCAACATGCGCCTTTACATATAAGTTACATCAAATAAATCAATATGGCCTTTAAGAGATTTCACTTACCTTTCCTTTCAGTGTAAGAGTGTGCAGTATGTTGGCAATGTCCAAGTCTTCTAGTTTGGTGATGAGATGGTCTAAGGATTTCTGTCCCGTCTCCTTCTTAAAACTTTCATCGTTCACACCATGCACTCTTTTTCGGCTTACTATGCCAGGAGCAAATTTGTTAATTCTAGTAGATAATCGTTCATGTTCTTTTCTCCATGTGCTGTTACTGTTATTTGAAGTTTCTAAATCGTCGTCTCTAGACAATACACTAATGGTACTGTTTTCAAGCGTTTTTAACAGTGTTGCCTCAGCACCGGATTTTCTTCCGAATGTTTTCCCGATCCTGGATTGCTTTAAAAGAAAAACAAAAGTTGTGTTAGAGGTGGACATAATATACCTCACTGAACATTACAATTAGCTTAGAATACATTACATTTGACATTCCCATTATCGGTTACAAATTTCATTATCGATATAATCGGTTCTTCATTGAAATCAAAGTGCTAATGTTTTCAATGTAAAAAAGTATTGAAAGTAATTTATATGTGCATAAAAATTGCTTGAAAACCCATTCATTATAAAAGAACAAAACCTAGTGTATAGAACTTTAACAACTCTGTCTATTGATGTTATGGTAGTGTCCCCACTTTATTTGGGAATTCAGTCCCATAAAAGTATGAAGTACAAGAGGCCCAGAGGGCCTGTATCGCTCACCTGGAAATGTTACAGTTGATATAGCCAGATGTTGCTGGAAGTGTACATGTATAACATGGTTAGTCAGGGGTTATATTTATATCCAATTGGACAAAATCCTGTCATTCCTACAGGAAAAGAGGATTTTGAAAAATTTGCTATGTTGCCCCCCAAGGGGGTCAGACCCACCATTGATACAAAATTAGGTCCCCTTCATCCAAGGATGCTTTAGACCAAATATGGACATAATCCTGTCATTATTACAGAATTAGAAGGATTATAAAGCTATTTTTTATTTCCCTATTTGGCCTCGCCCCTCTGCACCCAGGGGTTCAAACCCACCATTTATACAAAATTGAAATCCCTACCAAATAGGATGCTGCTGTTCAAATTTGGTCAAAATACCTTCATCACAACAGAAGAAGAAGGATAATAAAGCTATTCCTCTATATCCCTTATCGGGCCCCGTCCTCTGCCCCATGGGGGGTCAGACCCACTTTTTATACAAAATTGGTTCCCCTCCAACTAAGGGTGCTACATCCCAAATTTGTCATTCTTACAGAAGGAAAAGGATTTTGAAGAATTTGTTATGTTTCCCATATTTGGCACAGACCCTCTGCCCCCAGGGAGGTCAGACCAACTATTTATACAAATTAAGTCACCCTCACCAAAGAATGCCTTTGACGAAATATGGACAAAATCCTGTCATTCCTACAGAAGAAGAAGTATTTAAAAAAAATTATTATGTTACCCCTATTGGGCCCACCCCTCTGCCCCCATGGATGCCACAATCACTGTTTATACAAAATTGAGTCACTTTTGCCCAAGGGTGCTCCAAACCAAATTGTAATGAAATTCCTTAATTAAATCCCTACAGTAGAAGAAGGATTTTAAAGGTTTTACCTCTATTTCCCCTATTAGGCCCCGTCCACAGGGGAGCTATACCAACAATTTATACAAAATTGAGTCTCCTCTAGCAGTGTGTTAGAGGAACCTCTCCGTAATGTTGATTTATAGATGTAACTGATGTCAGACTGGACCAGAGAACTACCACCGATTACATTTATAGCAGTGTGTTAGAGGAACCTCTCTGTAATGTTGTTTTATAGATGTAACTGATGTCAGACTGGACCAGAGAACTACCACTGATTACATTTATAGCAGTGTGTTAGAGGAACCTCTC